TTCTTCTCCATCCTGCAGCATCATCGATAACCCTCAGTCGTGCTTCCCCCATCGTGACGGGTCTTCACACACGTGGCAGCTTGTAGGGTCTCCATTTACGCCCCGAGAAGCGCGAGAATTGGTTGACTATTGGCACACTGTAGAAGCTGTTATACTACAACTCACGCCCTGCCTGTCTATCTTCACGCTAACCGCTCATCTCTTTATTATTATGGTCGTTAGCGGAACATTATATATAACTTAGTATTAATTATTTGGGATTTGAGAGGCCACGTATTGTCTCGCAATTTTTCGGCTATCGATTAAAAACGTTAGGGATTGTTTCTGGCCGTGCTGAAAAGTTAAATGTAGTCCGCATAGCATTTGATAGCGCATTGTTGCAGTCCGCTCGCCCTTTGCTTGTGTGTCTGCCTTGCTTCATATTACGTTACATTCATCGATCTATCGCTTTCAAAACCAGCCTTTGACAAAAATATCAAATATCAAAACGTAGTAACTAATCGATACGGGTTCGTGTGTTGAAACCTGAATGCGGATTCGGCCTTGTTGAAACGACGTCCGCTGTAGCAGACGAGTGTTATCGAGTGACGCTGCTGCAAATATAACGTGAGAGCAAGCTCAGGACGGAATCAACAGCCCCTCCCTCCCCCCATTTAGAACTCCTTTCAAACTAAGTATAGGATTTAATGAGACGCTCGCAAGTGACTGTGAGCTGGCGAAGTATTCGCGGGAGAGACTGACTTAATGTGCGTGGCTGTTTACTAATTCGCATGCGGTGGGGGCCGTGGTGTGGTACTGTTGATCCGCTCGCCTGTCCGGATGTCGGTGTGAATGCCCGGATGTCGGTATGAATGCCAGAGCTTACTATCGAGGCAGTGCAGCCGGTCGGGCTTGCTGTGCTTGTTGTTGGTCGTCGGCAGCGGCGGCGACGACGGCGACACGTCGATGCCCAGCCGGACGTGGCTTTGGCGCCGACTGAAGTTGTCGTAAAGCATGCTGCTCGGATACTGTAAGTTTGTGTAGCTGCTGGGGTGATGGCTTACTTTGGGTGGACGTTGTCGTATAGCAATGGACGGGATACTGTAGTTTATAGCTGCTAGCGGTTGTTAGTTCTGGGTAGATGGCTTACTTTGGGTGGAGTTGTCGTATAACAATGACGGGATACTGTAGTTTATAGCTGCTAGCGGTTGTAGTTGCTGGGTAGATGCTTACTTTGGTAAAACATCTCACCGACGATGTTGAGATGACTTAGGATCATCGTCACAGCGTCTGTTTCTTGGCGATTCCTGCTAATTCTAGATCATAAACACCGTAGCTGTTTTCAGCATCGCCCTTGTAAAACCACGCCATGTCTAGTGCGCTAAACCCGCACCAAAGATCCAGCGATACACACACACACGCTCTTTCTCGCGTGCGAGGTTTTGCCATCTTTATTTCTTCGCCGATAAACGATTTGAACGCGAGTTTGTTTGTTCGAAGATGTTTTTCCCCGCGGGTGTTTATAGCTTTCCAGAGTTGTTTATTTATAACGATAAGTTGTGTCGTACATTCGATTTCGGTCGCCATTTGTTTTGCCTCGTGCATGCGCGTGACGTCAGCAACATTACTGGCAACCATCGGAGTCGATGGTGCGTTGCGTGATACGATATATTTAAACACGATATATGTATTATAATATGCGCACGTACGTCGCGTCAGCATATTATATATATATATATATATATTATAATAATATATACTATATACTATATCGTGTTTAAATATCGTTCGTGGAAATCGCGGCGCCCGCTTGATAGATTGCCCAAATCTTCTTCAAGATGCGACGCGTGCGTGCGTGACGTACAGCGCGCGGCTTGCCCAGGGTCTGTCTCCCTGATACTGCCGAAACGTACCTGGGTAGCGGTGCCGGTAAACCAGAGCACGCAGGGGCTCTGGGGCACGTGCTCCCACAAATTTGGGCTGTGCCCCCCCGGTGCCCCCATGAAGAATGTCATGAGCTTGATAAAAAAAAAATTGAATTAAAAACAATGCCGTTGAATAGCAGTTATAGGATTACATGAAAGAAGGTTTGCGAACCACATCTCCATAAAAGTTATTTAGTGCATGAGCGGTGATGATATCGCTGGCAATCTCATTGGATAACGCAGCAGGCATTATGAAGAGATAGTGCCCGTCTTAGCGGTCACTATTGCTTGCGGCGAACGCATTGTTATCTATAAAGCATTGTGTTTACCGTCAGCGAATCGTTCCTGGCGTCTGGGCGCCACGCCAAGATTTGGAATTAATCGGCGATTGTGTTTGTGTCGAGCGTTTTTGTTACATCGAATGGCACGGCAAATTAGGCGAGTATAAAGAAAGGTATGTACGCATGAAAAGTAGATTGGGCATAGTCATGTGGATGCACTAAAACATTTAATGCCTGCTGAGTTGGGCGGCACTATGCGTCTCATAGTGTTGCTTTGGGAAGGAATAGTTGGCCGTCGCTACCGCTGGCGGGCACTATTCGCTTCCCTCAGCAACACTATGAGAGGGCTATTAGTGCCCAACAGCAGGCATTAATATATACAATATTGTTGCCCCCCCACGAAAATGTAAGGCTGCCCCCCAGTGCGCCCCCCGCCCGCTGAAAACATCCTAGCTTACGCCAACTGACCAGGACGTACCCCTGGTATCTATCTAATATGCGACGTACTCGCCTATCCAACTAACGCGTCTAGGGAGTCGCTTACGCCCTATCTCTTACCTAACCCTAACCTACGCAGGTAACGTTTCCGGGCAGTACCCAGGGAGACATAGACCGGCTCATGAGCTACAAGGCGAGATGAGATATGTATGCATTCAAGGATTGCCGGGCCGGCTTGCTTGTGTAAAGAATGTTATGGTGTTACTGACGTGGCTGGCTGCCGCAGGGGCGTGGTTGAGGGCAGGCCGCTGGCCAAGCCGTTCGGGCGCGTAACCACGGCGTAAAGATATAATGATGACAGGGCTAAAGTGTTTATAATTAGAGGTCGACCTTAGACAGGTGTAGCCCGATACCTGATACTAACGACTACTGTTGATATGTTATTGTTACTGTTTACTTGTTTTGTTTATTATGTCCTGTCCGTTACCAACACTGTGCGGAGAATTTCCGTAAATCCTCAAAACCTCGTTAGCTAACTTGCAATCTCACTGCCTTTTGCATATTCTAGCTAATGAAATTAAATCTCGTCAATCGTCGTGGCAGTGCAGTAACCGCAATTCTATCTGACATACTACGCCGCCAACCAACTTGCCACCGACTGGCCCGTTTCTCGCGCCACCTTTCGACCACCGTGCCGCCACCGCACTCACCTTTCCATCTACCGTATGCTCCCACCTCTTTTCACCCGCCGTCCGCCCTCGCTCCCTCCATGAGCTGTATAAGGCGTCTGCTATCTGACCACTGAGTGAGCATGACATATAGCGTGACGACGTGACCGCGCCTCTCGACACGTGATCCGCGCTGGCCCTCTCGACTGATAGAACGACACCGAGAACTCCGGTGACGCCGCAGAAAGACCCCGATCCATACTCGATTCACGCAACGACTCTACGGTTGTCGCCTAGCCGCTGATCTAACATTTGAGGGGTGAATGCTTGTCTGGGCATGAATGCTTTGCTGTGTCGCTTAATTAAGCATATCATTCAAGTTGCAGAGATGTTAGTTAGATAATAATGCGGGTTTCATTATAGCGGCAATTGAATCTACGCGGATTCCGATCAGTGAATGGGGCGATGGTGAGAGAGCTGCTGAGAGGGTAAACGCAGAGGAAGAGGAAGGAGAAAGAGCGAGAAGGAAAATGTATGCGTGTGTGTGAGTGTGTGTGTGTGTGTGTGTGTGTGTGTGTGTGTGTGTGTGTGTGTGTGTGTGTGTGTGTGTGTGTGTGTGCGTGTGTGTGTGCGTGTGTGTGTGGTGTGTGTGTGTGAGAGAGAGAGAGAGAGAGAGAGAGGGAGAGAGAACGTAATGGAAGGGAAAGTGGGTTGAGGTGGGACGGATGTAGAAGAATGTCATACAAAGACGCTAACAGTCTATCATGATTCACACATCTTTCCTAATACGGTTCAATTCGCTTTTTCTAGGTACAGGATATATCTACATGCTAGACGGCTGCTGATGTCGGTCTGTGTGCATCTCTCACACACACACACACACCCTCTCTCTCTCTCTCACTGGTAACGTCCCAGGAGGCCTCCACTCACAGCAGCTGATGAGATAAGTGTCGGACACTCTGCCGGTAATTGAATCTTCAATCGACTGTGACAGCAGCAAGGGCAGCAGTAGCAGCAGTAGCAGCAGTAGCAGCAGTAGCAGCAGCAGTAGCAGTAGCAGCAGTAGTAGCAGCAGCAGCAGCAGTAGCAGTAGCAGCACCAGTATCAGCAGCAGCAGCAGCAGTACCACCAGCAGTAGCAGCAGCAGCAGCAGTACCACCACAAGCAGCAGCAGGTGCGGGCTGTGTGCACACACCGTGGCTAAGCAGGGAGACGTCAGGACGGTTAGCGCTGCAGTGTAGAGATACGAAGACGACGTGAACGCGTGCAGGCGGACGTACGAACACACGCTGCTAGAATAATCACCACCACCACCACCAGCTCCTGACCCCCTCCCTCACCCTCAACCTCCTGAACCCCTCCCTCACCTTCAACAGGCTCTAACGCGGGTTACCGCCTGGTTGCTGTTCACCTGTACGGCTTTACAACCCTCCTACCCTTTCCTTTACCCTCTACCTTACTCCACCCCACCCGACCCCATCCATCACACACTACCTTAACCCTAATCTTTTACCCTCTACCTAACCCCACCCACATCACTCCGCATTACATACTACACCCCACACCACCCAACCCACCCCACGCCACCCAACCCACCCCACACCACCCAACCCACCCCACATTACCCTAACCCACCCCACCCTCTCTAACCTACCCTACTTCCTCAGACATCCCGCCCCTGTCCCTCTCGTCCCATCCCTCGCCACAAGATGCTGGGTTCAGACGCCGCCACCGCGCAGCCGACGGCCGCCGCCATCACCGCCGTCGCCGCCGCCGCCGCTGCCGACGATGACGGCGTGACGCGGACGGAGCACGAGCAGACGGACTGCACGACGGACATGACGCGCTTCCGTGACGAGCAGAGCGGACAGAAGCGTAAGAAGACGGCGACGAAGGTGACACGCGAGAACGTGCGCACGGCGGTGAGCGACGACGGCATCGACCACGACCTTCTCCGCAGCAAGTTCGACCGCGTGCTGCCACCTAGCGGCGGCGGGATGAAGCCAGCGCCACCTGGCGGCGGGAGGAGAATGCCAGCGCCTCCTGGCGGCGTGGGGAAGCCGACGCCGCTGCTGGAGAGTAACTTACGCAGCAAGGAGTGGTTCGAGGACATGACGAAGCGACGGGACGAACGCTGGGCAAAGTTCATGCAGCAGAACAACAAGAACAGTGGAGCAGAGAACAGTGATAAGATGTTCTCTAAGTTCTGGGATGACCAGGCGAACAGGTGGGTGTGCACAACCGCTCGACACTATTAGTCGATTTGATATTTCATGAACCTAGAAATATGCTTTCCTATGAAGTTTTTTGGCTGATTTGTACTCATATGGGGTCCTAAAACAAATTCAGCTCGGTTGCCCAAATGGCAACTTTGGGCAACTCTAGTAATTTGCATAAATCCAAAATGGCCACTGGACGCTATCTTCAAAATTAAACTTTTTAACCACTTGACACTATTTAGGACCCCATATGAGTACAAATCAGCAAAAAAACTTCATAGGAAAGAATATTTCTAGGTTGGGTATTGAATACATAAGAACGTCAAATCGACTATATTGCATCTCTCAGATTTTGTTTCCGTAAAAAAGACTTCAGTACATGTCTTTGTATTTGAATTACATGCGATAAAGATTAAATAATAATAATATTAATAAGGTAGGTGTGTGGGGGGGGCGGGATCGGCACGCTGGTAGAATCAGAGATGAGATAGAAGAGTGTGCAGCACGGGATAAGGTCCTTGTATTATTTCTGCTTTTCTTACCACATCTTAATTCATACTCGGTTGATAGACAGTTGAGTGTAGAGGGACAAAGGGAGGGTATTGTAACATGACGTTTCATTAAAATCCAGTTTTCTAAAACGGAGCAGGAAATCCTTGCCTGAAGGCGACATAAATATATATGATGAAAACTACACACATACTGCCCCGCACGAGACGATACTAGCCTGATAGCTCTAACGTAACCGCTATTATATGTATGTATATATATCAGGAGCTAATAATTAGCTCCTGATATATATATATATATGTATTCTTATACTCGATTCTTTCTTATATATTAGTTTTAAGAAGACTATGGAGCAGACTAAGTGGGGCATGAACGACGCTCCGGGAGCCGGCAAGTCACGCAGAAGCACGACCAGCACCAGCAGCAGCGCCGACACCGTGGAAGAGAAGATACCGACGACACCGCCTTCGCCGCCGCTGCCTACAGAGGGCGCTGGCGACGCGGCGGATGTCGGGGCTGGCGGTACGGTGTCTGATAACGGCGGGAAGCTGAACGGAGCGCGAATGACGAGCATCGTCTGCGAGGGGGGAAGCAGCAGCAGACGCAGCGTGCAGTCCGAGGACAGGTGCGTGTGACGTCATCAGGTAGACTGGTCGGGGAAGGTGGCAAAGGCACGGCTATGTCTCAGAGGTCAATTGTGTGGTGGCATTAGAATTCACGATTGCTTTTGAAATTTATATACACAATTCATATTTATTTATATATAGTGTGTATACAATATGTATACATATTATATATTATATTATATTATATTGCATATGTTGTTGCCAATGCTTGGATAAACTAACGATGCAACCATCTGGAAGATTAAAAAGGAGCAACAACAAGTCCCATCGGTTGTTTACGTTCATGGAATGACGTCATCGCGTGTACAACATGGCGCTCGTGTATTTGCTCGGCATTCTAAAACAGAATTACGTCGTAAATCTGTAATCGCACTACGACATCCTCCGAGTAATTTGGTAGAGGATCTATGAAGCCATTCTACGAGCGAATTACGTCAGGATCAGAGGCAGGCGACGGGTCTGCGTTTGTCCGACAGCCAATAAAGTCGTGGCACTCTGGGGCTGTTTTTTCGTCGTTAACTGATAATGTTTGCTACACCCCGACTCCCAAAACGCTTCATATTTTCCATTAAATCGCTAATTAATTTAGTGTTGCGGTCTAGTAGGAAGCAGTATTACACTTCTGCATCGCCGGGGAATATAAGTGTACGAGAGGGTAATAAAGCAGAAAGAGTGCGAGCGAAATCTGTAGAACGTTACCCTAGAAATACGAACAATGCTACCCTGGAGATCAGTGAAACGCTGCCGTAGATATTAGAAATATCTTGATATTAGATATATCTAGAAACGTTAATTGATATGTAATGTTAATTGATATATCGTGCAGAAGCAGTACATTCCCGGCTGTTATAGGCCTAAAGAAAATGAATGCATGTTCCACCCCTTTTAAGTCCCCCCTTTTAAGAGAGCTTCCGTGGCCCAGTGGTTAAGCCTCGTCCACTGAAGGCTGTGAGTTCAAACCCCGGCCGAGGCAGTGAATTTTCTCAGGGTGTAAAAAACCTGGCTCTCAACATTGGAGACTGTGAATCTCCCGTGGCTCGGATGACCACGTAAAATGGCGGTCCCGTCTCCAGTAATACTAAGGCCAATGGGGACGTAAAAGAACCACTGAGGGCGCAAAAAAACTCTGGCTTGTGACCACCCTCAGTGCCTTTCGGTTAAAAGGCTAACTACCTGGCTTTACTCAAGCTAGGTTACACCCCATAGCTAGATATAGCCCTGCGTTATTATCGACGTAACCACGGGCTACGCAGTAAAGTAGCCAGATCCAGCAGCGGTTCTGGCAATCAAGCAACAATATTTCTCTGCGGCCGTCTCAGCTAAGCTGTGCCGTCGATCAACAGGACTTCTTGCCAAGGGACGCTATCCTGCGCCATGTAGCGTCGTCATCGTAGGCGTAGTCTCGCAGTTTAATATATATATATATATATT